CCATGGACAGTTTAAATGGATGATTAATAAATGAAGCAAAAATTTTTTAAAAGGGTGAAAATTTCTCTGGAGCGTTGACACAGAGAGGAATACTTTACATGCCTTGTTTACCTTTGTATCCCCAGAACCCAAAGAGTGCTAGGCACATGATAGGATAGGCGCTCACTGTATGAATTCAGCCCAAGTGAAGAGGAGGTGCCCAGCCAGCCCTACAGGCCACGCTGCAGCCAGGGCCGGCTTGGTTGGTGGATTTAAGTTGGCTGCAAGGATGAAATTGACTTAATGAATAGACTTGATGGGGGTCATGGTGGAGAAATCACACAAGATTTAAAAGCCATTTAGGATTATTTTAATTCTTCGAGAAGCAATTTGACAAGATGCACCAAGGCATTTATAAATATTCCCATCATTTGAACCAGTAATTCTATTTGTGGGACTCTATCCTAAAGTAATAATCTTAAAGGGAGGAAAATCTTCATGCATAAAAAGTTTATTACAGTTTTACTTTTAATAGAGAAAAAATGGAAACGGTCTAACAACTGGGAAACTAGTTATTGTGTACATTCTATCTGTGGTGGTATTTAATTTGCTGTCATTAAAATTATGCGTGTGAAGACAATGTAATAGTACAGGTAAATACTTCTAATTTAAAAAAAGGTGAAATTGAACATAGAGTGTGGTTATAAGTTATGGGAGGGTGATGGTGAGGGAGAAGTCTCAGTTAAAAGTGTTTGTCAGGGGGTGGTAAAACACGTTTTCTTTCTTTTGTCTTTATCCTTCTGTGTATTTTCCCAATTTTTTATAATTATGATACTTAATTTACTCAGCAAATATTTACTGAGCGTCTACTATGTGCCAGGCGCTCCTCTAGGAACTGGGGCAAATACTGAATAAAACACAACTCCTATCTTCGAGCCCAAAGTTAACAAGATAAATCATTTAAATGGCATATTGGATGATTAGCGCTCAGTAAAAAAATAAGGCAAGGAAAGCGAATAAAATTGATACTACATCCACTTTTTGACCCGGAGGGGGAAAACTATTCCCCCAGGGACACAGCGAGTCAAATTCAGAACCGCCCAGTGGGTTACAGACCGAAGGAGCTGAGACGCGCCGGCCCTGCAGACGCCGCTGCAGCCCGGGCGGGGCGGGGCCGGCGGGTTTAGGTTGGGCGCGCGACGAGGTAGAGCCTGTCACGTGGCTCGAGGGGCGGGAGGACGAGAACAGAGTTTGGCTGGGCACCTTCCCTACAAAAAGGCGGGCGGAGCCGAAAACCAAACAAACGTCCTCTGAGCGATTGGGGGTGGGACCGACGGGAGCGAGCTTAGCTTCCAGAGCCAAGGCCTTCCGCGGAGTTGGTTTTTCGGTTGCTGGTCGCGGTGGTCGGGCGGTCCGCGGTCGGGCTGAGACGCGCGGCGCAATGGCGACCTTTGTGAGCGAGCTGGAGGCGGCCAAGAAGAACTTGAGCGAGGCCCTAGGCGACAACGTGAAACAGTAAGAGCTGCCCCAGCGCAGCCTCCAGGCCGCCACGCGCGTGCTCTCCTGGCCTCGGGCTGCCGACCCCACGGCCCCGAGGCCTGTGTGTCTTCGCGGCCGCGGCGGCGGGGCCTCCAGCTTTCTCGGGCCGGGGCGGGGCGGGCAACCTGGACTCACCCCGCCGGAGGGGCCGGGCCTCCTTGGCGTCCCGGGGACCCGGGCGGGCGCGTTCGCCGGGACTCTCTGCCCTGGGTGGGGCGGGACAAGCGTGCTTCACGCCCAAGGGCCTGTTGAGCAGGTTCGGGTCCCTGCGCAGGGGGGCTGGACGGGTGAGGCCGGCCTGGGGCTGAGTGAGCCGGAGCCCGACGCGCCCGGCGGGAGAGGGCACTGCGCGGGGTGGCCCGCTCCTGGAGACCTTCCTGGAGGCGGAGGCGTGTTGAGCTCATGTGATATGCCAGGCATTATTGGTAAGCGCTTAGACAGGAATTTCGGAGGACCGATGGATCCTCTTGTAAAATAATAGTCATTGGACACTACCGCAATACAGTGACGATAGCAGTAGGGGACATTTAAACACCTTTTACGCACTCTGAATGTATTAACTCGTCTAATCCTCACAACAGGTACAAGATTGGTACAATTATTATTCCCATTTGGTAGATGGGAAGATTGAGACATAGTGAGGTTAAGTAACACTTTAAAAACCACTGCCAGGATTGGGACCCATGCTTCTGATCCCCAGCTTATGCCTTACGGGGGGTGTAAAGGATCCCAGAGGGCGGTGGCTCGCGCCTGTAATCCTAGCACTCTGGGAGGCCGAAGCAGGAGGATCGTTTGAGTTCAGGAGTTCGAGACCAGCCTGAGCAAGAGCGAGACCGCGTCTCTACTAAAAATAGAAAGAAATTAGCTGGACAACTAAAAATATATAGAAAAAATTAGCCGGGCATGGTGGCACATGCCTGTAGTCCCAGCTACTCGGGAGGCTGAGGCAGAAGTATCGCTTGAGCCCAGGAGTTTGAGGTTGCTGTGAGCTAAGCTAACGCTAAGGCACACTAGCCCGGCCAATAGAGTGAGACTGTCTCAAACAAACAAACAAACAAACAAAAGATCCCAGAGGCGCCCAGCTAGCCCTTCAGCCGGGTTACGGGGAAGGACCCAGTACGCAGTCGGGTCAGACGCAGAATGGGTGAGGGTAAAATCAATATCCAGAGAAAGCCAAAGCCAAACAATATAGAAGGAACCTCTGAGATACAAGAATAAATTGGGAAATTTTCAAAACACTATTACAACTTTATTTTCCAAAAATATAGGAAGCACATTTG